GGATATTAGGAAACATTTTTTCACGGCCAGAGTGGTTCAGAGGTGGAATCAGCTGCCTAGGGAGATGTGGTTAGTGCCCTTTCACTGGCGGCTTTCGAGAAGAGGCTGGAGGAATATTTGTCAGGGATGCTTTAGGCTGGTCCTGCATTGGGCAGGGGGTTGGACTAGATGGCCTCTGTGTGGCCCCTTCCCACTCTATGGCTCTATGATTCTGTGGTCTGATTCAGTACAAGGCAGCTTCAGGTGTGTTCGTGTGTACGCCTGTATCCACCTGTTTGGCCAAGGAATTTGGGGCACCTTGAGACTGTCTTACCTTCACAGCATTTCTGTGAGGAAGGTTAGGCTTAGGGATCATGCTCGGGCTTCAGCCCTGAGCAAGGAAGTGAAGAGGCGGTAAAGTAAACTCTGGTCAAAAACAGCTTTATGATTTTTTTTTGGGAGGGGACGATGACACCAGGAGGGCTTGTCTTACACGTCTGCTCCTAGAGCTTGCTTTGTCGGCTCCAGAGTCAAACAGAAGGAGATTTTCTGGGACGGCTGAACCACTTCATGAACCTCTGGGTCAAACGTCTGATTCTTCGTATTCCAGGAGATATATTTTTAGGAAAGCTACAGATCCAACACGGAGTCTGGCCTGTTCCTATAGTTAGTTCTTATCACATCCATCCCAGAAACCCCAGAAGATAACTTTAAAAACAGGTTAGTTTTGGAGGGTCTTCACTGATTTGTGTTCTTCCAGCTGGGCTGTTTCTGCTGGGGTGTAACCAGATCCCTGCTTCCGCCATCCGTAGCACCACTCAGAGATGTGTGGAGCACCTTCAGGTCAAACTGGGCGTGGGAGAGCAGGGAGGGACCCAGCGGGTTGGGGCTGTGGTGCTGGGGGAGAGGGGCATGTTCCCAAATCCCACCCCCCCACCCCATACACACCCCATCCCCACAGAGCCACCCTTTGGCCTAAGGTCACAAAAACTGATGCAGACAACTGGTAGAGCCCCAGGTAGGTCCGTCTCGTCCGGATCCTGTTTCCAGGCACTTGTTGTCAGGAAGTCCACATGCAGGGCAGGGATGCATCCCCCCCAGTCTCTTCTTGTTTCTACTGGAATTCGGAGGAAGGCAGGCTTGAAGCACAGAAGCCCCCCACCATGCCTTGCCCCCTTGGCTAGGTCCCAACCCCTGGACTTGACCGAAGCCACCAGCAGGAGGAGAGCACCCCAACACAGGCAGCTTTGGCCAGCAGGCAGAGGGTGAAGAAGAGAAGAAGAAGAGATTGGGTTTATACCCCATGGCCCTTCACTACCCAAAGGAAGTCTCAGGGCGGCTTACAAACTCCTTTCCCTTCCCCTCCCCTCCCCACAACAGACACCCTGGGAGGGAGGTGGGGCTCAGAGAGCTCTTGACAGAAACTGCTTCACGAACAGCTGTGCCATAACTATGGCTTGCCCAAGGTCATCCAGCCAGGTGCAAGTGGAGGAGGAGTGGGGAATCAAACCCGGTTCTCCCAGATCAGAGACCGCGCACTTAACCACTACGCCAAACTGGCTCTGGGTGGCGCTTGCCCCTCCAGAGGGTGCAGCAGGGCTGCCAGGGGGGAAAGGCGATCCCAGATCATGAGCCAGCAAATTCTGTATGGCTTTCTGTGCTGGGCATCCCTGGCTGTGCCCTGAAGGCCCCAGAGAAGAAGAAGAAGAAGAAGAGATTGGATGTATACCCCACCCTTCACTCCTCAGAGGAGTCTCAGAGCGGCTTACAGTCTCCTTTCCCCTCCCCTCCCCACAACAGACACCCTGTGAGGTAGGTGGGGCAGAGAGAGCTCTGAGAGAACTGTCCTTGAGAGAACAGCTCTGAATGAACTACGGCCATGCCCAGGGTCATCCAGCAGACGCTAGTGGAGGAGTAGGGAATCAAACCCGGTTCTCCCAGATCAGAGTCCCCACCACATGACTGTGTGACCCACCGCCTCCACGAAGGCACCCTCTGGGACACAGTTCAGGAGGACAAGCAGCCCCCCCCCCCCAAGAAGCCTCTTGGGTGAGACTGTTTCTGTTTCTTGGAGAGCTGTTTGTGGGGGAGTGTGAAGGGCACTTCCGCTTGGATTTATTGTGAGATTTGCTTGGCTGACTTGGCTTGGGAGCCGGGCTTTTGTTTACAGTGCTGGGATTTGGGAGGGAGGGGTGGAGAGATCAGGGACACCTGGTTAGTCTCACACACACACACACACACACACCGCACCGGCATGCCCAGGTGTTGTAGCCAGCCCTCCCTCCCATGGTTTCCCGCACCTCTGATAAAATTGCGTTTTTAGTGGTTGTCGCAGAAACCGCTATTTTTTGCCAGCCTAATTAAGAGGAATGACATTCAACGCTACTCACTCACCATTCCTGTTTTGGAGTCCAGCGTTCCCATTTCCTGGGTTGGGGAAGCGGCACCGGAGGCAGGTCGGCGGGTGAAGCTGGGGCTCAGGACAAGAGCCCCGTGGGCGGGCCGTCTGCTTCCTCCGAGGTCCCACCTCTTCTTCTCCCGTCACCCTCCCTGCCCGTCTCGACGTTCCCTTTGCTCTCGTCCCCCGGGAAGGGCCAGTGAGCGAGGCACAAAGCGTGCTCCAGGCCCAGGCCCCAGAGTGCCTGCCTGGGTCTTTGCTCTGCTGGAGGGTGCATTCCAAGCCCTGAGCTGCCTTCTGGTGGCTGCCACTGTGTGTGCATCACTTGGGGAACAGGCCGGGGAGCTGATTTGGGATGGTGCGAGGGGCCGCCTGCTAGGAAGAGGCAGGGGCCAGCCCATGTTTCCGCCTGAATCCGGCATCACGGATTGCTCTGAGGCGGCCGTCCTGCCAGACGACTCCCATCCGAGGCTCCCTCTAAGCTGTGGAATCTTGTGAGCAAAACATTCTGCTTTGTGAGCTACCGGCATTAAAGTTGTGAGCGAGCGATTCGACTACTGCATGAATGAGTTTGCTCTGTACTTAGACTTGCCTGTACTTGGACCAGGGGTGGGGTTCCCGTTCTCTCGCGAGCTCAGCCTTGTTTGCCCTCTCCAGAAGCCCTGGCCCCTCTTGGAGTGGTCTTCCTCTTAAGGACGACGGAAGGAAGAGGCCTGAGCTTGGGGGGACAGGGAGGAGGAAGTCTGGGTCAAGAGAAGCAGGCCTCCCGTCCCTGCCGGCTTGCTTCCCGCCTGCCCCACCTGAACATTTTCAGATGCAAAATTTGTCACAGAAGGCACCCGCCATTTCTTTCTCAGAGCCTTGTAGTTCCAGTAGGAACTTATTAGCATAATAGGCCACACCCAACAGCTGAAAGTCATTAGCGTATTAGGCCACACCCTGATAGCACAGCTCATTCGCATATTATTGCCCAGGCAAGCCCCCCCCCCCCTTGAAGGGAAGGGAAGGCTGAGGAAGGCACAGAGAGGCATTTAAATGCCTCCCTGATCCTTCCAGGCCCCCTCTGGGCCCCCCCGCCTCAGAGTCGCCGGGGGGGGTGTCGCTCTGCGGGCCTTCCCTCTGTAGCCGCGCACGCAGAGGTTTTGGCTGTAGTGGGCGTGGCCACTGAATCCCACCGGGTGCCGTTAGGTAGTCCCGCCCCTAATACGATATATATATGTGCCCATAGATAGGGATAATACAAAACGATGTAAGCCACTCAGAGACCCATGGGAGGGGTTTGAGCGGGGTAGAAGTTGAAGGTAAATAAATAAATAATAATAATAAGCCAGCCGGAAGTTGAAGGTAAATAAATAAATAATAATAATAAGCCAGCCGGAAGTTGAAGGTAAATAAATAAATAATAATAATAAGCCAGCCGGAACTCCATTCCTGTGTGTTCCTGCCCAAAAATAGCCCTGCTATTGTTGGTCCCAGAATGAAAACGGGGCAATCTTTCAGGTGTCAGGTGCCAACGGTGAGCCATTTTAAAAACATTCTTTTTTTATGGGACGGCCTTCAACTGCCTCACACTCTGGCATATCTTCTCCCATTTATTTAAATCAATATTGTGCTCTATATTTCCAGCCCAGGCAGTCTTTGCTACTTTGATGACCTCATCCTGCATCTTATGGTTAACATAAAAGAATATAGTTTGCATCTGGGCCTAAAAGCATTTTATCAAGTTCTGACATTTCTAATGAGAAGCCTAATTGTTTCTCTTTCATATATCTGGAGATGAGTTGGTTTCTTTCCAACCAGGATAGCTGGATCTGTTGGGATTGCAAAGTTTCTTGCGATTTGACTCCAAGAGCTTGTGGGGTAGACCCAGGCCAGCAGTGCCAGCTCTTGGCAAACGCAGTGGAGCTCGGGGGGTGGGTGGGGGGAGTTTTCAAAACGTGACTTCCGAAAACGGATGCTCAAATCCGCTCTGAGCAAACCTCATCCTTCTGCTGAATAGGGGGTGGAGAGGTGCTGGTGGAGAGGTGCAAAACAGGATGTGGACGGAAGAGGAAGCAACAAGCCCCCGCTAGACCGGACCGCCTCCCCCTGCCCCACTGTGGAAGAGGCAGGGATGCCAGGCTGTTGTCCGGTTTCATGGGGAGGTTCCTCTGGGGCTTCTGGGGGCTCCTAATCAGCCAGGACCTACATGGAACCGGGAAGAATTTGTGCCCCGGCGCTCAGACGCCAGTGCCAGAAAAGAGGGATTAGTTCCCGCCATCTTCCCAAACTTGAATGTAGAAACAACAGAGAGATCACGGGAAAGATGCAAACAATGAGGAAAACAGCCGTGATGTATAACGAAAATATATATTTAGACTGCTGTGTTGCAGTGAGTAGTGTCTCATCAACAAGATGTACGCATCCACACTAACAGGATTTGCATAGACTCCCGTTTCACATAACCGCTTTATCTAAGTGTGCTGCGTGAATAACATTGGTTTACACATCCACGATTCTAATCCGTGAACGTTAACACGAAACATTCCTCCCTCTTCAATGAAACAGATTATGTGCTCAGGACGTAAAGAATTTGTTTGGGGGGGCCCTCCTCTTCACTCTCCCCCCTCCGCTTGCTTCACAGGTGAACGGTATCAATGTGGTGAAAGTGGGTCACAAGCAAGTGGTGTCGCTTATCCGCCAAGGGGGGAACCACCTGGTGATGAAAGTGGTCTCTGTCAGCCGCAAGCCAGAGTCGGAGGACCTCAGTCGGAAGAAAGGTGAGTGCCCGGCGGCAGCCCCCCTGCGGCAGCCGCTCCTCTCCCACTGGCTCCTTGCGCCTCCCGGCCTGTGCTCTCAGGACACGGGGGATGCCTCTTCCTCCCCCGCCCCCCGGTAGATGGGCTCCTCTCTGTCCTCCTGTGCCCCCCGGCCCGGCTCTCCGGATGGGACTTGCAGTCTCTGGGGCCGGCTCTCATCCCAGTCCTCCCATCAGCGTGGCTCCCAGCACTCACCTCGGCATGGCTGATAGGTGGTTTCTCTCAGCCACCCCCCTGGGTTGCCCAGAGCCTGGGCACGTCTTTGATTCTGGAGGTGCCAGCCAGACTCTGGACCGTGGCTGGAACGGGGTGGGGGGAGCCTGTATGTATGGCACCAACGTGGTTACTCCACACCCGGGTGCTGAGGAACCCTCCCCATGTGCTGGGCTGCTGCTGTAGATGTTCAGAAACACCACTTGAAAGAAGATTAGACAGCTACACGGGGAGGAGGGTCTTTCCATGTCTACTGGCCGTGGTTAAAGGGAACTGCCACGTTCAGAGGCACTCAACCTCTGAATCCCAGTGCCAGGGGGCAGCATCAGAGGAAGGCCTCAGCCTCTGTGCCCTGTTGTTGGCTCTCCGGAAGAACAGGTTGGCCGCTGTGCAAGACAGGATGCTGGACTAGATGGACCCTCACTGGTCTGATCCAGCAGGACTCTTCTGAGGTTCTTATCGGGGAAGGCCTCGGCCTCTCTGCCCTTTTGTTGGCCCTCCGGAGGAACTGGTTGGTCCCTGTGTGAGACAGGATGCTGGACTGGATGGACCCTCACTGGTCTGACCCAGCAGGGCTCTTCTTATGTTCCTATCAGGGGAAGGCCTTGGCCTCTCTGCCCTATTGTTGGCCCTCCAGAGGACCTGGTTGGCCCCTGTGTGAGACAGGAGGCTGGAGTAGATGGACCCTCACTGGTCTGATCCAGCAGGTCTCTTCCGCTGCTCTTATGAAGGTGTTGGCCTCTCTGCCCTGTTTGTTGGCCCTGCAGAGGAACTGGTTGGCCCCTGTGTGAGACGGGAGGCTGGACTAGAGGGACCCTCCCTGGTCTGACTCAGCAGGGCTCTGCTGAGGTTCCTATCAGGGGAAGGCCTCAGCCTCCCTGCCCTGTTCTTGGCCCTCCAGAGGAATGGGTTGGCCACTGTGTGAGACAGGATGCTGGACTAGGTGGACTTTCACTGGTCTGATCCAGCAGAGGCTCTTCTGCCATTCTCTGCCCCATTTTATGGCCCTCCAGAGGAAAGGATAAGGTCCCAGAATTCTTCCTCATTTCCCTTTCTCAAACTCAGCCAGCCTCCAGATGTTTATTTATTTATTCATTATTTATTTATTTATTTTGGGATTTATATCCCGCCCTACCCAGACGGCCCAGGGCAGCAAGCAAGCGGCAACGCCGAAAATAAAACATAAATTACATTAAAACATCAATAAATACAAACTAAAATGGTGCTCTACAGTTCATTTTAAAATTTCAAGATGCTCTCTTCCTTCTGGATTCGACCCTTGTCTTGCAGTTCTCCATCCCAAAATTCTAGGCAGCTGCTGTGGCAGGAGCCCCTCTCCCCACCCCAGCAGCAGGATTGGCTGTTCTGGGCCAGTGGGGAGCCCTAAAGGGCCGAATGGGCCCTGCTCTCTGCCTGGGAGCACAGACTCCGGCCCTCTTTTGAGGCGAGAGGGAGAGACAGGCAACGTGTAAGAGATGCCTCGGGATAATCTTACGGCTAAAATCTTTGGTGGTGATGACCCAGACCCCACCCCCAGCCGGATTAGGAGATGCCATCTGTGACTGGGCTGCAGCTCTCGAGCGTCCGTCCCTTCCTTTCCCCACGCTACTTGCTGAAATGCCTTCCACGGCACTGTCGGGTGACACCCGGCATCGCTCCGGCCAAGAGGGCTTCCTCTGCCGCAACGGCTCCCTGGGACTCTGGCTCCCCAGAGCCAAGCCGGACCCCCAGTCTCAGAGGCCCCGTGAGTTGGCGATGCTGCTGTGTGGCCACTGAGCCCAGGAGGTGCCCCCACCCGGACGCCTGCGGCCCTGAGCAATGGTCCATACCAGGGGTGGCCGGGACTTCCTTAACAGAAGAGCCACATCGAATAAACGTCAGATGTTTGAGAGCCGCAAGACATGAACAGATATCACACACACGTTTCTACTATAAAAAAACAACAACGCAGATTTGCTTTTTATTAGCATTAAACGGGACTGCCAGAAATAACAACAAAAAGGGTAAAAACAGATATTGATGATGCTACTTATTTATCCAGTGGTACTTGTAGGCTGGGGGGGGGGAGGCTCTGAGAATGCATTTAAAGTTAAAGTTGCTTTCTTTCTCTGTCCGCCCGTCCCCCGTCCGTCCCCATCCCCCGTCCCCCCCGCTCAAGCCTAACCAGGGAGGGGAACAGTGGCTGGAGACCGATCGTGGTGGCATGCCTCTCCTTCGCTTGGGAGCCACATGGTATATGTGAAAGAGCCACCAAGCCACAGTTTGGCCACCCCTGGTCTGTACCCTCTTGTGTTGTTTTTTTAAAAAAAATCCCACTGTGGAATTTGTCGATACAGGCCACCGAGGCATCAGGGAAGTGGGACCAATGCTCCCTCTAAGCTGTGGAGTCTTGTGAGCGAAATCCCACTTTGTGAGCTCCTGGCATTAAAGTTGTGAGCAGGTGATTTGGCTACTGCATAATTCAGTCTGCTCTGGAGCCCCATCCGTCCTGAGCGAAGGCAAAAATGTGTGAGCCGGAGGCTAAAAAGCTGTGAGCTCGCTCACACTAACTCCGCTTAGAGGGAACATCGCTCTGGAGCCACATCCTTCCTGAGCGAAGGCAAAAATGTGTGAGACAGAGGCTAAAAAGCTGTGAGCTAGCTCACACTCACTCAGCTTAGAGGGAACACTGGTCGGGACGCTGCGGATCTGGGCCACTGAAGCCCCTGGTTGACTCCCGAGGATAGCTGGTTGCAGGCCGCTTAAGCACACTGATCTTCCTTATTTTTCCAATACATTGTTCCAATTCTCCAGTGTTTAGAAGGAAATCGAGGCACTGGGCATGTACTGCAGTCAGTCAGGAAGTCACAGTTTTCAGGCATGATCGGGACGGTCCGTCTGCTGAAGTCCTAGCCCACTTCCAAGGGACCTAGTTGGCTTGGGAGTTCAGTGTTCCCTCTAAGCTGAGTTAGTGTGAGCTAGCTCACACTTTTTGGGCCTCCGGCTCACACATTTTTGTCTCTGCTCAGGAAGGAGGGCTCCAGAGCAAACTGATTTATTATGCAGCAGCCAAATCGCTCGCTCACAGCTTTAATGCCATCAGCTCAGAAAGCAGAATTTCTTCTCACAAGACTCCACCGCTTAGAGGGAGCATTGCAAAGCGTCCCTCGCTGCAGGTGGCAGGGCACCTCCACAGTGAGGATGGTGAGGGAGGAGCCATGCATCTCGTGGGGCTCCATTGCCCTTTGAACCAGTGCTTTGGATTTTTGAAGGGAGGGGGAAGAGGAGCGATCAGACCCCTTCCCCACACCCCTTTTCACACCGAAAGCCACTGCGTCTCCCCAGCCACTGTTGACCGAACTAAGGGAATTGTGCAGGTACATCCAGGTACTGGCTAGCCATGTGCCTCCGTTTGTAGCAGCGGAAAAGAGCAAGCGTCCAGGAGCACCTTCAAGACAAACAAAATGTATGGCAGGATAGGAGCTTTCGTGAGTCACAGCGTGAGCGGTGACTCATGAGAGCGCATGCCCTGCCATACATTTTGTTCGTCTTCAAGGTGCTCCTGGACGCTTGCTCTTTTCTACTGTACAGGTACATTACCATTTTCCCCCGAGGGGGGATAGAAGCTGCTTCTGATGGTGGCTTTTGTTGGGAAAAATGGCATGAGAGGAGCTGTTTCTTAAGGCGGTGTTCCCTCACACTTTGGACTGGTCTTCGTCAAATTACCCCTCCAGATAGGGTTGCCAATCTCCATGTGGAGGCTGGAGGTCTCTTGGAATTATAGCTCCTCTCCAGACTACAGAGATCAGTTCCCCTGGAGAAAACGGCTGCTTTGGAGGGTGGACTCTAGGCACAGGGGGGGCCAAACTTGCTTAACATAAGAGCCACATAGAATAAACATCCGTTGTTTGAGAGCCGCAAGGCATGAACAGATATCAGACACATGTTTTTATTTGGGAAATATGCAAATTTGCTTCTTTATTAATGAGACTGCCAAAAACAATAACAAAAGCTGTAAAAGCAGATATTGATAATGATATTCATTTGTCCAGTGATATTGGCTTGCTAATGATATTTAGCTTCCCCCGCTGCCCTGCCGGGAGCCGCACAGTATGTGTGAAAGAGCCATGGTTTGGCCACCCCTGCTCTATGGCATTATCACCGCCCCCAGGCCCCCTCCCCTTCTCCGCCTGCACCTCCAAATCTCCAGGGATTTTCCAACCCAGATCAGGTGACCCGGTCTCCAGGAGCTGCGCTCTGTGAGCGAGAAGGCCCCCCCCCCGAACTGCCTGTCCGGCCCTCTTACACCCCGAGATGGGCCAAATGGGGGTTGGCTTTCACCCTCCTTGTCTGGGCCGGCGAGCAAAGCAGGGCTCGGAGGCCAAATCTGGCTTCTTTGTGTACGGAGCACCTGGGCCTGCTGTAGAGCCCTCCCGGGGCTTGGTCCGGCCTCTCCTCCCTCGGGTGGACCAGGTGCCCGGAAGCACCCAAGGGTCGCTAGGAAGACATGAGGTCCCCAAGAGATGGGGGAGGAGGACGGGTGTGCCCCGTTGTGGGCCCCGAGGAGGGGAAAGAAGGGGAGGGATGGGAGGCAACCTGTTTTGAAGGTGGGGCAACAGGTCGTCCATCCCCCCCCCCCATGGCACCTTTTCCCCGTGGGCTGCTGTCTCCGGTCAAGGCCTGCCCCCGTGAGGACAGGCACCAAGCCTTCCCTAACCCCCAGGGCAACTGCTATCCCCCCCCCAGTCAAAAATCCTCAACAGCGTGGCGGCGTTGCCTCTTGCAAGCAGGGAAGGTGAGGCAGATCCCTCCCACACAGCGCCGACTGAGGGGGAAGGCAGATCCTGTGCCTATTTTTAGTGGCCTGGGGCTGCATCACGGGGAAGGCGCGCCGCCGCTGCCGCGGGGCCTGCTGGCTTCCGTCTCTGGCAGGGAACCAGCCCCCCCCCCACGCCCGGCAGAAGGCAGGGCTCCCCGGGCAGCCAAGCAAGGGGGTGGCAGCTTTCGCACTGGCACCCCGAGCTGTAATTCTGCTGCTGCGCCAGTGCCCGCCTCTTGGCTGGGGATCGCGCTTCCGATATCCTGCCCTCACCATTCCTGTCGAGGAGCAGCTCCCTGGCTGAGACGGACCCCGGGTGCCTGGGCGGCTGGCACGCAAGCAGCGCCTGTGCCTCGGAGATGAGCGTTGAGTCCTTCCACTCCCCCGGCGCTCCCGGCAGGCCAGCCACGAAGGAGCTCCGTCCCCATGCCGGTTGGGGCTGGAGCCCCTTCCTCTTGCCCGGCTGAAGGAGGCGGCCTCTGCCCTCTGTCCTCCGCACGCCAGTCGGTGCCAGGAGGTGTTCCTCGTGGAGTGGGCTGGCGCCTCCTCGCCAGCTTCCCCTGCCGGATCGTTTCCTGTGCCAGGGCTCGACGGCAGAACGTCTCCCCGCCGGCTGGTGTTGGAAGCCGCTGTGACAGGGGCCCGTCCCGATTCCCCGCTTGTGGCTTGGCAAGGGGCTGTGTAGGAATCATGTTCTCTGCTCCATCCGCCCCTGTTTTGGGGTCTCTGATGCAGGCGGCTTCTCCGGCAGAGGCTCGAAGCTCCGGTCTCCATAGCAACGCCTGAGCGTTGAAGCCCGCATTGTTACGGATCGGATCGAGAAGCGACGGGCGGGCGGGCGAGAGCCGACCGCTCCTTCAAATCCCATGGCAGATGGAGTCGCTCTCCAGCATCGGGGCTGGCTGGGCCGGCTAGGGCGTCCCTCTGCCCAGACCTGCCACCTGCCTCCGTGGTCGGCCCCCTCCCCGGCAGGGCTGCGCCGAAAGCCACATGCCTGAAAGCGCCGAGCGGCCGTGCCCATCTCCGAGCCAGGCTGGGTGGGGGAACGGAAGCCACGCCGCCACCACCACGAGACCAGGAGCCTAGGAGCTCGGCCGGAGCTCGGGAGCCGCCTCGATGCCCACGGTGTGCCCAAGGGGGTGCAGGCCGCCCGCCCAGGAGAGACGGAACTGAGCAGGCCTTCCCCGCCGTAGCGCTCCTGAGGCGGGGCCTCCCAAGGCGGAGGGTCCTCCTGGCCAGAGCGAGTGGGGGCTGCCCCCCCCGGTCGCCTGCCCCCCGCCCCCCCTTCCGCCGCGGGACAATGAAGCAGTTTGCCTCCACGCGCAGCCTCAACAAGATCCTGCAGCAGTGCGACTCCTCCTCCCGCGAATACGAGGAGATCCAGGCCGTGGAGACCAAGTGGCACCTCCACCTGGCCACGCCCCGCAAGATCCTGGACAGGAAGCAGTGCAAAATGCCCTCTCTCTTCCTTTCAGCCCCGCCGCCGCCCATGAGAGCCCCCAGCACCACACTGACCCTGCGCTCCAAGTCCATGACCGCTGAGCTGGAAGAGCTGGGTGAGTCTGG